GCCCAGAGTTCAGACCCCATGACCGGATCCCAAAAAAAAAAGATGCATCATACACATAAGTAGACACATGAAATTGAAAATACATTCACAATTATAGATTTGTATCCCATAGATACCAGCAGAGGTAATAATTAATACAAATGAGGTGGTTGTGATTTCACGTGTCATGCTTCTGCTTTTACAGCACAAATATATTTCATTGATGCTCAATGAAAATCAAATATTGCCTAAGAAAATTACATTGGAATGAGGCCAAGGTAATCATTGAATTCAAATGTGAGAAATTCAATGCTAGATTTTGAAAAATAGCAACTTAAAAGGAAACTTGGGCTAGCTATATTATTTTCCAAATGACATTTCCATTTTGGTAACAAGTCAACAAGATTTACATTCTGCCCTTGTAAGCAAATTTGTTTCAATTTTTGAAAAACTGAAGAGTTTCGGGCACATTTTCTTTTATGCAAAGAGAAGAAAGAAGCAGAAACGCTTATTACATACATAATACAATAAGAAATTACCTTTAAAGGCACAAGAAACAAAAGAAAAATGGGCCTGAATTGAGAAAAGACCAGGGCTAGAATAATAGTTGCCTAAATTCCTGTACTGCACACCTCGCCACATTAATATCTGTGGGTATGTGTATGTGTTACCAGGGAGGAGGAGTTTCTCATGTGGTTCCTTTGAAGTTCTCCAATGTTAAAACAATCCTCAAAGAACAAATTTAGTTGAAGCACAAAATAGTGTAAATCTTCAGCATTCAGATTTTGTTCTGTGCTTCTACGCTTTTCCCTTCAGACTGATTTTTTTAATTTGCTATCTAGCAAGAAGCTAATGGTTCCTACCTAGACGTAGTGAGATTAAAATGGAAAATGGATTAGCCAATTAAATGTTGAAAAATAGGCCCATGAGTTGGAATTAGCAGTCTGTGAGAAATATCAGTTTACTCCAGCTAATTTCAGGAGAAGGTTACAACAGCCACAGTAGCCATTTCATTAAATGTTACCGTCCAAATGGCGCTCTCCATAAGAACTCTCTGGAAACAGGCCCCTTAGATAGGTTATACAGGAGATAGAAGTAGCAAAGAGTTTCTTCACCATTATCAAGGACTGTTGCTCGTTAGTGATTTGGGTTGGGAAAACCGTTTTCTGAAGGGAGAGAAAAACAAACAAACAAAGGTGAAAAGCCTTAGTATTCTAATATAGTCACACCATTACCACATAAGGATGGCAGCTTTGTCAAGACTTCAACTATGACACATTCATAGATAATCAAAAGGAAAACAGGGCTTTGGATGTTGCGTGAAATTAGATCTTTATAGTCAAGACAGAGCAGAAAGCAGAGACGATCACCCAAGTAATTCAAGTTGTTTCACACTGACCGGTAGATGTGAGGCAAGCCTGAAGTGTTGCCTAGAGCGTCCTTCCGTTGCCCTCTCCCGGCCACGCTGCTCTCTCCAAAGCCTCCTTGGCCAGCCTAGTTCTTTCCTCTCGTCTGCCTGTGTGCGCTCTGACCTTCTCCCTTGAGTGTCCCACACACTTCTGTTTTGTTGTTTGTTGCTTTCTACCACTGAGTCCATCCACCTCAGCATCACACCACTGTCTTCACCCACCCCACACACGTGACTCAGTCTCTCTTTTGTGTGTGTGGAGGGGAGTTCCTGGGACTTGAATTCAGGGCGTTAGTGCTGTCCCTTAGCTTTTTCACTCAAGGACAGCACTCTACCATTTGAGCCTTTTGCTAGTTCACTGGAGAGCCTTAGATCTCAGTCTCCTGAGTAGCTAGGATGACAGGCGTGCACTGCCATGGCTAGGCTATTTTTCTGTATTCATGGCTCTCTTTTTCAATGAGTTCATCTATTCTCTCAGCCTCAGCTACAGTCTATTCAGGGGACTTCGAGCCCCTACTTCTGCTCTGAGCCCCACTTCAACATTCCTAATTTCTGAGCATCTGCTCTAGAGCACTTTACAGATCCCTTCAACTCAGTTCATCCCCACCTCCCCTGGCTAAAAGGATCCCAAGTTTCATTCTGGAGCAAGTAGATCAGCACCCACTCATGCATCCATCGAGACGTGGCTTCACCGCCAGCCTCCCTGTCCCTCACACTCAGTTCTCCCTAAGAATCTCACATCTGCTTTCTTCTTTCCCTTCACTGCTGTTCCTGGGCTTAGGACATTCCCAAGTTCCCCTTCTCACTCCAGCAGCCCCTGGGCCCAGGCAACGTTTTTCATTCTGTCTGTCTTCCATGCTCTCATCAGAATCAACTGCAACAAATATGAACCTTACCATGGCACTCCTAATGTAAATACAGCACCACGTTCAAGCTCCCTAACTGTGGCATTGGAAACGGACAAAATCTAGTCCCTATGGTCTCATCTCTCCTGTGTTTCCTAAATGATATTAGACTGCCCATAACAACATTATCATAATAGCTCCAAATTAGAAACCACCCAATGCTTCTCAACAGAATAGATGGAGAAATTATGGTATATTTCCCCAGTGGAGTACTAGGTAGCAATGAGAATGAATGATTGCAATTACATTTAACAATACAGATGGCTCTCACATCAAATACTAAGCAGAACAAAGCAGATAGGAATGGACAGTATCTTATGCTTTCTTTTATATAGAATATACAAGCAAGATACAAGCAGGATGGTGCTTTTTTTTCTCACTTAGGAAACAGAATAGTGACTAGGGAACATGAGAGCCCTTGTTGATTTTTTCCTATTCTCTCTCTCTCTCTCTCTCTTTCTCTCTTTTCTATCGTGAAACCATAGTAAAGTTTATCAGAAAACACTCTCAACAGACTGAAAGTAGGTCGTCTCTAAGGGGAGAATGATCAGTTTTATACTGTTTCTTGATCTGGCTTCTAGTTTACAAGAATGTGTTTGACCTGTAAAAATTAATTTAGTTGTACACGTGCATGCATTTTATAAACAGATACTACCAGTGAAAAGTAAGTATTGACCTGTCAAATAAGTTTTGAAAATATTGCTTCAAGCAGTCCTCTTGGCCAGAAATGTTCTTCTTTTCAGTTCCAAAATATGGACATTTTAATTCAACTATGTATTTAATGTTAGATTCTGCTTTAGGTTCTGAGATGCAGCAGTGAGTATAGCGAATAAAAGTCCTCTCCTCCATGGAGCTTACACAGAATGCCGCGCTGACTCAAGGCTTCCCGGGTCTCTTCTGGGAGAGATCACTTCCCCTATTCCGTCACTCAATGCTGCAAGGGTGACACTGCCCACAGTCACCCCAGAGTTTAAGTCCCATGACCAACAACAACAACAAAAAAGGTGTAGTGTAAGTGGCACACAGAGAAAAGGAAAGAAGAGTTATATCTACAAAGTTTAGTAGGGCATTTTTCCTTTTTATGATTTTAATTAATACATAGTAAATTATACACACCAATGGGGAAGAGGGTGACATTTCAATACATGTACATGTTTTACAATCAGATCAGAGTGAGTGATGGACCTATCACTTCAGATATATACCATTTCTTTGTTTTGGGGGACAATCATAATCCTCTCTATATCTATTTAGACTAACCAATTATTGCCAGCCATACTTACTCTACTATGTATAAGAAGATGAGAAGTTTTTCAGGGTGTCAAGAACTCACACATGTAATCCTAGCTACTCAGGAGACTGAGATTGGAGGATCAAAATTCAAAGGTTAGCCCAGGGAATGGATGAGGTGTTTAAAAAGAGCCAGAAAGGCACAAAAACAGACCAGAAGACCAATGGAATAGAATAGAAGATCCCGAAATAAAACCACACGCCTACAATCAGCTGACAAAAGAGCCAAAGACATACCGTGGAAGAAGCACAGCCTCTTCAACCGCTGGTGCTGGGAAAACTGGGCAGCCACATGCAGAAGATTAAAAGTGGACCCCAGCCTATCACCATGCACCAACATCAACTCAAAATGGATTAAAGACCTTACCATCAAACCTGAATCTCTGAAACTACTGCAGGACAGAGTAGGAGAGACACTTGAACTAATAGGCACAGGCAGAAACTTCCTGAACAGAGTCCTAGGGTCACAACAAATTGGAGAGAGACTCGACAAATGGGACTACCTTAAAATAAAAAGTTTCTGCACAGCTAAAGCTATAGCAACCAAGCTAGAAAGACAACCAACTAACTGGGAAAAAATATTTACCAGCAATATATCAGACAAGGGGTTAACATCCTGTATATACAGGGAACTCAAGAAACTAATCCCTCCCAAATCTAACAAACCAATTACTAAATGGGCAAGGGAACTAAAGAGGGACTTCTCAGATGAAGAGATAAAAATGGCAAAGAAACACATGAGGAAATGTTCACATCCCTGGTTGTGAAGGAAATGCAAATAAAGACAACCCTAGATACCACCTTACCCCAGTCAGAACTGCCCACATCCTAAAGTCAGCCAACGACAAATGCTGGAGGGGATGCAGAGAAAGAGGAACTCTATTACACTGCTGGTGGGAATGTACACTTATACAACCACTTTGGAAAGCAGTCTGGAGGGTCCTCAGAAAGCTAAATATTGACCTTCCTATGACCCAGTCATACCACTTCTAGGCATCTACCTTGAACAACAGGAACCAGTATACAAGGACACGTGCACCTCCATGTTTATTGCAGCACTGTTCACAATAGCTAGGATATGGAAACAACCCAGATGTCCCAATGGATCCAAAAACTGTGCTATCTATACACAATGGAATATTATGCAGCCATTAGAAAGCACAAAATAATGGCATTTGCAGGGAAATGGATGGAGCTAGAAGAAATCATATCAAGCGAGGTAAGCCAAGAGCAAAGAGACAAATGGCACATGGTCTCCCTGATAAGTGGATGTTAAATCCAAAATGTAAGGTGATACGACAAAATTAACAGGACTTAAGAAACAAAGGACTTCCACTCATCTGGTCAAATCACTACTAAATAACCCCATGCTGCTGATCACATATATGGTATATATGTGCACACCGGAGGGAAACCAGGAGGACAACACAGAACTAGAGGGAATCAGGGGAAAACATACAACAGCGGGACCCATCAGCTGCACTGGACATTGACCGAAATGAACTAAGCAACTCAATGACAGCGATGGGAGGGAGGGAACAAGTGGGAAAGAGGGAACAGCTGATGTTATACAAAACAAAAGAAATGTACATACCACCCAATGTGGAAGAAATAACTGTATTGCAAAGCTCATAGAACTCATAAATGTTAAAGACCATGATAGACAATTTGCCCCATGAAAGTTAGAATGTGTTTGTGACTTTAACTGAGCATCACTATCCCACAATACTGTGAGATTTAGGAAATCATGTAACCACTTAATCACAATAAAGAATTTGAAAAAAAATAAAAAAAGAGCCAGAAAGAAAATGTCAAAACCAATAAATGAAACACACACACACACACACACACACATGAGTTAGGCTAGGCAGAAAAGCCTGTGAGATTCCATCTCCAAAATAATCAGCCAGGAAGTGGTGCTGTGGCTCAAGTGGTAGAGCACTCACTTTGAGCTGAAGAGCTGAGGATAGCACCCAAGCCCAGCGTTCAAGCCCCATGACCAACAACAACAACAATAATAATAATAATTTAGAGGACAAAATAATCAGCCAAAGGCCGGACTAGAATTATGGCTCAAATGGTACAGAACCAGCTATGAGCAATCAAAGCTGAATTCATGCCCTAAGTTCAGGCCCTAGTACTGCCAACAACAACTACAACAACAAAAAGAAGCAGGAGTTATTCCTCCTAGTCAGGCATGGTGGCAGATCTGTAATCCCAGCACTCAGGAGGCAGGGGCAAGACAAGTTTGAGACCAACGTGGGCTACATAGTGAGACCGGGTCTCGGGGAAAAGAAGAGACTATTTTTCTGATCCAGTTGTACCTACTCTCCCTCTCCATCCCTCCCCACAATACGCTCTGTGTGTGTGTGTGTGTGTGTGTGTGTGTGTGCGCGTGTATTTGTGTGTGTGTGTGTGTGGTGGCGGTGCATGTTTGTGTTTGTAAGGAAGAAAGTACAGAGAGAAAGCTGTGACGTCTTCAGCACCTCTCCGGGTGGCTGAGGGTGGGCACAGGTGTAAGGGAGCAGCATGGTGGTGCGGTCAAGAGAATAAATACACCAAAGCACATTTATGATTTGCTGTTAAGAAAAAAGGCACATTTTTGAATACTGAAGAAGGATTTGATGGTATATGCTCACTGGGAAATGAACCCCAGTTAGGCATTACAGTCAATAGCCACATTTATCAATTTTCCTCCTCGCTGGCTGCAAATCAGCGTTTTCATGGTGATCCCTCGCAGCTGTGGGCCGCGCAGCAGGGCCACGCCGCCTGAGCCTGACCACGAGCGAGCTAGTCCCCAGCACACGCCCAAACAAGACCTCGGCCTCCTCATTCCAGCCGCCCCTCTATCCCATCTGCCCTTTTCTTGGTCTAGCTAGTACCTCGTGCTTTTTTGTTTTTTGCTTTTGTTTTTATGTTCTCATTGGTATATTTTTCTACTTAAAGAGTCCTCAAGCACACTTAGTTAAGTCAGGCTTGTTAGTGCCCCTACATTTGAGAAGGCTCTCAGAAACCTTAGGGAGAAAATACACTTGTTAGAGAACTTTACTTTAGACATCACTTCCGGTGCTGTTGGCTTTGAGTTCACAGTTAATGAACCATCTGTCTGCATTAAATGTATTTAAACAGGGCTGGGAAGGTGGCTCAGTGGTAG